TGGATGTAGGGCGAATTCTGCCGTTGGAAGTAATATAGCATTGAATAATTTCAGCTTCTTTTTTTTTGTGCTTTGCATATTTACGCAAATATGCAAAATGCGTATTAACATTAGGTCGTATAAGCCCATATGTTCACATTTTGTCACTCACTTCGAACTCAAAAACCAGAGAATTTGAGATCAAAATTCTGAAGTACACATCCACCCCATGTGCCATCCATCCGTTTTAATATCATTATTCGCGTACGCTTAAGTATCATATACGGACGCGTAAGAGGAAACATACAAATGTTTTGCTGCGAATGCGATTTTGGGGACCAGATAAATAGCTGAAATTTTACAAGGATATTTCTACGGCCGTGCGTGAGCTAAAGATTTCAAATTCACCTTTAATGCACGCAGTCGTATACGAATGTGTCGAATCTGAGATTTCGTAACCGTCGGCAAGATGCCAATCCAAAAACTGCTCGAATTAGAATATCTTATGTCGTGAGACTATTTGTTTTACGTAAATGGGCATGTGGGTACAAAATGACCTTTAATATGTGTATATGTTAAAAATATGTATGATAGGAGCGATTTCGTCAATTGGTCATGCTAGGGATCTACAACTTTACGAGAATATTCCATGCCAGCATGCGGCCTAGATATTCCAAAATCACCTATAAAACACATCTGCTTGGGCGCAAATGAATTTTTAGCTCGGTAATTAGCTCGATAACCAGACTGAGCAGGAAGCGGTTGTTTTGTGAGAATGTCTGCTGTTCATGTTCGAGCCAACAAGCTTAAGATAAACTTCTGACTAAGAGACATTCCTTCGCTATATTGTTTTTTGACTTCGGATTCATGTCCTGGCTAATTTATTATGTGTTTTATGCTGTGTAACTGCAGTACAAAACGCATATTGTCACGGGGTTGTCTGTATGTATGTTTTTGTGTGTGTAGGTGTCCGCAGCAACTTGTCCGCAATTTTCAACTCAAGAACCACAAAAGCTAGGAAGCTGAAAATTTAGGGGAACGTCCCCCACCTACGTGTGATCCCGCAAATTTAAATTCAGCTTCCCCGTACCCGCGGGTGACACGCACGGCCCCGTGAAAGTTTTTTACTGGTAATTTAATATCTCGGGACCATGGAATCTAGGAGGCTGAAATTTTAGGGTAATGACCCCCTGCCCACGCTCAGCCTTGCCCATTCAAATCCAGCCTTCCCGTACCCGCGGTAACGCGCACGGCCCCGTGAAAATTTTGGCGGATAAGTTATTAACTCGGGAGTCATGGAAAGATATTCAGCCTTCAAGGTTTCGAATTCAGCTTTCATGCGCTGGTACGTGAAGTTTTTGACTATTTTCCAATGTTTGAACTATTTTTGCATAGACTGAAGTACAAAGCAGTGGAAATCGTTAATAAGCAATCGTTCGGTGGACTGAATTGCACAAAACGCATGATCGCACTGGCTAGTCTGGTGTGCGTTGCTGTTTACTAATTTCATGACAGGTCTTATAGCCCAGTATTCATATTTTTGTGTATAAAACGGTTTGGAATCGTCAAGCTTTATCGCCTCGTGATGCGCTTGTGTTTGTCAATCGTTTTGCGTCTGCCATTTATCCCTGACGCGTTCAGATTTTTGAATTTGAGGGAATGAGTGACGACGTTCCTGTGGATGCGAACGAGAACTGTCCGGGCGTGGCATCGGAGCAAGCAGGAAAAGTGAGTATTTTTTGATACTGAAGTCTGTTTTTTGTTTGAATAAATGCAAAGCTGAGCTGAGTTCCTCTCGGTAATGGGGCAGCATAAAGTTTTTGACGATTTGTATTCTCAGATATTTCATTACAGGTATCTTCGTGTGCCGGGTGTCCTAATCAGGCTGCCTGTGCATCGGGCGAGGCAAGGAAACCTGATCCTGACCTTGAAGCAATCGCTGATCGTCTGAGAGCTGTCAAACACAAAATTTTGATTGTTTCTGGGAAAGGAGGTGTGGGAAAAAGCGCTGTGGCAACAAATTTAGCGCGAGCTTTGGCAGCAGATGACACAGTACAGGTAACTTATGAAAAATTCTACTAAAAGTGCGTCAGATTTTGCGAAGAACAGGAGGGCTCAGCTAACTGTGGTGCTGTAGCCCTGGGCGTTCTTATTTTTTTTCTGGTCGTACGCATGGCACACATATTCTGTTTTGCATGGGAAAAATTTGTGGGTTGTATAAGTGGCAGAGAGAAATTCGACAGTGAAACGGCTGCTGCTCAAACAATCAGAGTTTCGTTTTTAGATAGAAAATAAAAGGATAGAACTGAAATGTGCTACAAATTAGAAAACTAGTTTCTAAAGCAAATTACAGGACGCGGGCAAATTATTTCATGACAATACGAAAATGGAACAAATTTTTTTTTTATGACAGCAGCACGAAAATCTTTAAGGTTGGTTTATTGGATGTGGATATCTGTGGGCCATCACAAGCAAGGATGCTGGGCGTAGAGCAGGAAAGTGTCCATGAAAGTGCCGATGGCTGGTGCCCGATTGCAGTGAAAGATAATCTGGTGGTGATGAGTATTGCATTCCTGCTGCAGAACAGGAATGAAGCTGTAATTTGGCGAGGAGCACGCAAGAATGCTTTGATAAAGCAATTCCTAAAGGTTTTCCCATTGATTTTTTTTCCTTTTGTAATGAGAGAAAGTAGACCGCGTCCGTGATTTCTCCTGAGTGGCAAAATCTCGCAGCCGAATCGCTCATTCAAACAACTGAATACAGACCATCGGGCGGTAGTCGTTTCATGATTCCGCTTGTCACACAATAATAATAATAATAATAATAATAATAATAATAATAATAATAATAATAATAATAATAATAATA